CACAGCCTGGCAACACTGGGATGTCTCCGGGCCCCCCCTAGTTCTGGCATGATCCCCAAACTCTGATCCAAGGGCTCTGTCCTTCCTGCCTGTTGGATGCTAAGGCAGCTTTTCATTTAGGGTGATGGTGAATAGAGGGGGCTACTGTACATTTGCTTGTTTCTGTCCTTGCTGATAAAATAAAAAGTCGGCAGCTGTGTTTGTCCTTTGTCCATTCCCATCTAGTTTTAAAAACATTTTTATTTTTTATTTTACTGGTCTGTGAAATTCAGAACTGTAACAACCAGGCTGTAAGGAGGGATCAGGAAATAAACCAACCCCCAAGAGAGCCCCGATTCCTGTCTTGGTGTCACTTAGAAAAGTTCATGGAGCAACTCCTTGCAAAGTGATGGATTTTAAATACATTTTTGGTGGAATGGAGTCATCCTGTTTGCCTTTGTCAGTGCGAGTTTAGACACAGAGTCCTTCCGCCTTTTGCCAGGACTGCTGAGGTTCAAGCTGAAATCTCCCCTCCATGGAAATGGGGGCTAGACTTTGTCCAGGAACCCCTTGAGCGCCACAGCAGGTCACACAGGCAGGGAGCAGCTGACAGCTGCTGTCAGCGACTGGCCTCTCTCTCTGAGCCTCTGCCAGGCGCTCGGCTGGCCGCCTGTGATCCACCGCGGAGGTCGCCTTAGCTGGCGTCTGATGGTGCAGACGTAAATCATAACAGGACAGGCTCCCTCTGACAGCATCTGAGCATCCCTGGCAAGGCAGGAAGTCTGATGACTAATCCCCAAAGAGGGTGCAGGGGCAGGGACAAAGAGCTGGTTAATTGAATGGTAGCTAATTCATTTATAATTATTCATCTTCTCTCTCTTTATCTTATAAAGCTCTAGTCCTTTGGAGCTGGGCTTGCTGAGCCTTAGGAATACATAAGGAGGCAGTAGAACAGATGAGTCAAGAGCAAGGTTTGAGCCTTGACTCGGTTTATTAGTATCAAGCTACTTCACTTCTGGACCTCAGTTTTCTTATCTGTAAAATGGATTTTGTGAGGAGTCAATGAGATGATACCTGTAGAACATGGAGCATAATGCTTACACCATTCTAAGTATTCAGTAAATGCTAACTATTGTTACCCAATCCCCCTCTTTCCTCTTACAGGTTCATTTGTATGTTCAGCAAGTATTTATTAGCCACCCAGTGTAGGCACTGTATAGACAGAAGAGCAGAATAGGGGCTAGAGTGACTGGCTGGGGGTGAGGTTTCTGCTGTCAACAATACAGTGGTTAAAGAGCCCTAAACAAATGAGGGGTGAGCCATGCCAACCCCTGAGAGAAAGGCATTCCACGCAGAGGGAACAGCCGGTGCAAAGGTCCTGCGGTGGAACTTTGCCTCCTGGGCTCAAGGAGGAACTAGGAGGCCAACATAGCCAGAGCACCGAGAGTCGGGGGGCCTGAAGTTGGAGAGGTCTCTGGGAGCTGTGTGATGCCGTGATGGGGGCTTCAGGCTTCTTGAAGGTGGTGGGAGGGCAGTAAAGTTCTGAATGGAGGAGGGATGTATTGAGGTTTATGAAGAAACCCCCTCAGTTTAGATGGCACGAAACCTATAGGCAGTCTGTCTTCCCTTATCTCTAGAAGGATGGATGGGGCAAGGTGGACTGGTCCTCTGAAACTTGAGTGTCTATCACTGGATCTTGCCTGTAGCGGTTATTACTGTGGTGTTTGCGTAAGGTGACTTTCTGTTTCCCTCATCTCTTATACATTTATTCATTGGAATTCTTCTGTAAGGAAGCACTTTCCTTTCTTTCTCCTTTACTTGTTTATTCCACAATGTGTCACATCAGTTTGGACTCAGAGGTATTTATTGTATTCTCTGGGTTTCAAGCCAATACTTTTTGTTGTTTAGTTTGTTGCTTACATTATTCTGCCTGTGATCATTGGAAACTCCTTCAGGTTGATTCCCCCATCATATCTTGAATGCTGCTTTACTTTCTTGCAGCACAAGACACTCCAGGTTTATCTTGTATTTTCCTCCTGGAATCAACCACTTCTTCAAGGAGCCCTGGTTCCATTTATTGGCTAATGGTATTTAGAAATCGAGATCTGGGTCCTGATGTGCTCATTTGCTGTTGGGGTGCATTGATTGCTCCCGTCTTTAGCAGATGGAGCTAGGAAATTTATGTATATACATTAACCCATATATACAAATTAACAATCCATCCTCCCTACCACCCTTCCTTCCGTCTCTGTATAGCTATATCTGTCATCTGTTTTTCCAAACTTTGAGTTCATATTGATGCCTTCAAATCCAGTCCAAAGCCTCAGGGTCCATTTCAGCCTTCCCACTTTCCTTCTTTGTAACTCTTCTCTCTGATTGAAACCCCTTCCTCTTACTATGTGCAATATATTTATTTACTTGTTCAACCATGGTACACACAGAAGGTAATTTGAAAATTGCTGAGCCATCCCATGACAAATACAACTAGAATACCGTATTTGTGTACAGTTTTTTTTTCTTTAGCCTTATAAAATCTTATCAGAATAACAATTTTGTAGTTATTAAGGCTAGTTCTTTTCTTCCCCAACCTCTTCAACGTGGTATTGTTATTCATCTATAATATAGTTATATGCATTTGTTGCTATTTATATTGCATTTTAAGTCTATACATACATACACATGGTCTATTTTTAATTATTTACTTTTTGGGTATGTGAGATATTATCAACATTCTAAGAGTTGGAGTTATACAAATAGAGAAACATGCAACCTTCTCATCCCTGCTACCTCGTTCCATTCCCATTTTCCCATCATTTACACCCCTTTCCCACCCACCCCCATTGACAACTGCTGTCTTTAGTTTCTGGTTCATTCTTCCTGAATTTCTTTTGCACAGATAAGGCAATTCATGTATATTTGCTTAGAGCTCCTTCTCTTGCTATATAGACAGTTAAAGTACTCTAGTTACTCTTTGCAGTTTGCTTTTTCCAGTTAACAGTGTATCCTGGAGATCACTTCATATCAGTTCATTGAGATCTTCCATGACGAGATTTTTAAACTTTTGTGATCAGATAAAAAAAAATTGGCAGCTCAACGATCAACTGTAGAATTCTCTAAGCCTGTTGATGATGATGATGATCATGATGATGATGATGATAAATAGCATAAGCATTATCATTAACTGGGCATCTATGGTATACTATGCTCTATGCTAAACACTTGCTATAGATTATTTCATTGAATATTTTCTAGAGGCCTGTGAGGTAGATATTAGCTTCAATTTACTCATAAGGAAATTGAGGCTCAGTAATATTTGAAAACTTGCCTGAGGTCATTAAAAAATGGAGCCACGATGAGCTCTCTCCCACGTCTGTGCTTTGTGAAGGGCACATCAGCACCATCACAGAAGTTCCAGGTTGAAACAAGGCCATGTGGTCTTTTAGAAACGAGGCATGACCCAGCCCTCAAAACCCTCTTGATTGTGGATCAGCTGCTGCTGCAGGTGGATGTGGCTGATGGCAGGAATGTGAAGGTAGTTCACTGCCTGTTTGTTCCAAAGAAATGGCCCTTCCTTTCGAGGACCCTGAGTCCTGCTTCTAAGACGGGAGATGAGAGGGGTGCTAGGTGGGACCTGCTACCTGGGGTCCCCTTAACTGCCAGCCAGAGCAGCCAGGACCTCTGCCAGCAAAGGTTGTTACCCTGCAGGGCTGCTGGGGTAAAGCCCGAGTTACAGCAGTTTCTTTCAAAGCTCTTGTACAGCAGAAGTGAAATAAGGACTTCTTTGGGCAGGAGTCTGGCTTCTGTTTCGAGAAGTGACAGCCGCCGGCAGCGAGGCAGCGCGGCAGCGCGGCAGCGCGGTGGAGCTGGGTGAGAGCGTGGCCTCTGGAGCCCGAGTGCCCGGGGCCCCGCGCCAGTGCCAGCCTTTCTGGCTGTGTGACCTTGAGCAAGTCACTTCACCTCTCAAAGCACATCTGTGGAATGGGGATAAGAACCATACCCCTGTTCGCTGGGGTCCCCAAGACTGCCCTCAGGTTCAGTGATTTGCTAGGAGGATTCATAGAACTGGGCCTGTCGTCATACGGCTGTGATTTAAAAGGAGCCAAAACAAAACCAGCAAAGGGGAGAGGCGAATGGAGTGAAGTCCAGAGGAAACCAAATTTAAATTTCCAGGAGTCCTCTCTCCCAGTGGCATCATGCAAGATGCACGTACGCCCCCAGCAACAAGTTGCGACCACCCATGTGAAATGTTTTCTACTGGGGATGCTCGTCAGAGACTTGGTGCCCAGGGTTTTCACTGGGAGCTGGCTGGTCACACAGGCACCTCCTCCCGAACTCTCAGAAAAAAAGCAGGTGTTCAGCATAAACTGCACGGTTTGCATAAATAGTTTGGGCACAGTGAGCCATTGTTATGAGAGAATGGTATGAGCCCTCCCGAAATCCAAGTACCCAGATGCTGGCCGAGCAAGGGCCAGGCTTGCCAGCAAGCCTTTCTAAGGATAGCTGTCTCAGGCTGGTCGTGTTAATTTTTTTCTGCACACCGTCCCATTGAGTGGTTGCTGGGTGGATTAAAAGAGATGATCCGTGTGAAGCGCCAGCCACTCCATCTAGTACAGTAAGCACTCAGTGAATGTCGGCGATTACTTTGACAGTCAGGGAAGGTATTTTGAATGGCTCATTAGTACCTTAAGAGCATGCTCCATCCATCATCCATCTACTCATCCATCCATTCCTGTTCAGCGCATTTTGATTGAGCCCCTGCTGGTGCAGGGTCTGGGTTGGCCTCTTTGGGGCTTTCGAAGCAGCAGAATTAGCCACTTCCTTCCTAGAGGATTGTGTGTGTGGGCTTCCAGTCTGGCTGGGTCTCAGGGGTGGGTGGTGGTGGTGGTAAGAAACTTACGCAGACTTCCAGGTAAATGTAAGATGGCCCATTTGCACACTCAGAGTTAGAGAGGTGGGTATCTTATGGTTGGAAAACTTAACCTCCTAATGCCTTGTTCTTTGTCCCGGTTTTCCTTCTGCAGCCAAAGCCAAATCGAAATGTGGCCCAACGTTCTTCCCCTGTGCCAGCGGCATCCACTGCATCATTGGCCGCTTCCGGTGCAATGGGTTTGAGGACTGTCCCGACGGCAGCGACGAAGAGAACTGCAGTAAGTGCTGGGAGCTTGCGTGCTGGGACCCCCGTAGGTTCCAGCCTCCCCCTCCGCCATGCTGGCCACTGTCACGTTTGGGCTTCTTCCACCCACAGGCTCAGGCGTTTTCTGCCGTGACCCTGATTCCATTCTTTACCATTTCTGTCTTGTGTAAGTGCTCAGCTGCCATTTATCAGGGACTCTCCTCAGTGCACTGGGCCTTGGGCATACTTTGTTTTCAGTTCTGACAGTAGCTGGGCAAATGCACATGGATGAGCCCTGCTAACAGGTAAGGAATCTGAGGTGTGCAGAGGCAGATGAACTCAGCCAGTGTCACGCAGCTCACAAGCAGGAGAGCCAGTTCTCTCCTCTGACTGATTCTCCTGCTCCATACCCCACATTTATGTGCTTGCCTTCCTTCTTACTTTGAATTCTTTTTTATTTTAAGATACTTATATATTAACTATATACATACTGTAAGGATATATTTTGGAAAAACACATTCAAACAGTATAAAACTCTAAAGTTTTTGATTTGTGATGACCCTGATTCCTTTTACCTGCCGTATAATATTCCACGGTGTCAACACAGACACCTAGCCCCGCTCTGGTTCTCCCTACCTCACCTTGCATCTTAGCAGTCTTAGTGTTGAGCGTCACTCCTTGGCCTGGGTACGTGCAGCCTCTTCATTGCCAGCATCTCTGTGTCCAGAATCACTTCACACACTGCACCTTCAGTGACCTTCAAGTGTCTCTTCCCCACCTTTCATACTGTTTCATTTCTCCCAGCAAGTTGCTTTGTACCTGCTGCTGGTGGCTGATCCCTGCTCACTGTTTCTTCTTTGCTTTTCCTTTAAATGTTTAGACTATGGAAGGCTTTGTAACCGTAGTCGGCTCTGGGCCAATTCACACATTTATTTTCTGTGTCTACATATTTTTATAACATTTTCTCTTCTGATCATTATAATAACTTGCAAAATATGGGAAAATATAAAGCGGAAAACAAAGCTGTCCAGAATGAAACACTGTTAATATTTGGACTGTTTTGTGCCTGTACTTTTTCTCTCTCTCTTTCTCTCTCACCTTCTCTCATTCTCTCTCTGTCTCTCTTGTTCTTCTCTAACGTGCTTAATTGAGTTGTCTTCTTTCCTGTGACCATTCTGTTATCATTTTTTTTCAAAACATAAGTTTTAGTGACCTTGGTGATTGTTTTGATAAATTGATTTTCTCTTATCCTGTTGGGCCTTTTGTACATTCCTGAAGAGGAGGGCGGCTGTCCCCTGTTATTTATGTCTTTTCACGGAGCAGTCATTGCGGTACCCTCCCAGCAGGGTCCCAGGGAGTTCATAACTCTGCCATGCGCCTTCTCCTGTTGCCTTATTTCATCTTCTGGGTCTCAGATGGCAGAAATACAACACAGCCACTAGGTTATCGAATAGTTAGTACAGTGGCTGAAACCCACCTCCCCAGGGAGGCTGCGTATCATTGGCCAGATCGGGCCTGACTGAGCAAAGTGGCCCTGGGGCCGGAGTGTCTGGCCTCACACCGGTGTTTACCCTAACTGAGCACGAGAGAGGCGTGCTATGCGATCTCCTTGCATGGTGGTTTCCTTGTCTCTAAAAGCAGCACTGTGAGCCAGCTTCCTGGGGTCGTTGTGAGAATTAGATGAGATAATATCTGAAAAGTGCTTCGTGTAGAGGCCGGCATGGAGTCATTGGTTATAAAGATATATAGTGACTTGAAACAAAGCCATGAGTGATCAAGGGGAAGACTATAATTACTAGGATTTCTCCTTTGGCTTAGGGTGTCCAAGAACATACTTCCCTTTTTACACTGAAAAAATTTTTATATTTGGAATTCGTCAGCTGGACTCAGTTTAGATGACCCCAGTTTTGTTGGCAACGTCCAAAGCATCCTACTAGACCTGGTCGGCTTCTTGACTTTGGCCACGATAATGTCGTAGAGCTTCGTCACAGCTTGTGTGACCTGGTGCTTGTTGGCCTTGACATCCACGGCGAACACAGGTGTATTTATTGTCTCCTGTCTTCTTCATGGCTCACTCAGTAGTTGGGGGAACTTGATTGCATAGTGGTCAGCCTTGTTTCTCCTGGGGGTGCTCTTCCAATGATATTAGGGCTGCCTGCAGAGCCCCAGAGTCTTGGGCCATTGGAAGGTGGATGATGTGCAGACCTTGGGTTTTTGCGGGGGCTGTGGACGCCTTTTAGCACTCTTTTCTTTCCTTCAAAGATTCTGTTTTGGCTTTGGCTCTGGGAAGGGTAAGGGCATCCCCCTTCCATTTTAGCTCCATCTTCTGAAAAGGACATGGTTCTTTTATATTTCATTTAGTGTCTATTAGCTTGATCTCTGCTTCCTATTGTCTGTGGGGATCTTATAATCTAAGGGGAGGATTATACGTGTGTGTGTATCACAAATATATTCATACATATATACTAGAGAGTAATCCAATGGCAATAAAAAGCAGTGTGATACAGTATAGTATGTATGTTCTAAATGACTGTGTCATCCTGCATACTCCCAGCCTTAGTTAAAGGCAATGTCTGATTTAAATGTTTGGATAGTGGTCCTTAATTGTTTAAGTGAGTAAATTATATTCATTCCATATTAAGTCACCATTTTCCTTTGGCTTATCTACTGTTTAAAAATAGTGTTTCTAATTCACTATTTTGAAAACTGGTAAATAAAAGGGAAGAATCAAGCATTTACCCTCCCTTTCCTATATAAATTGTACTTCTGTGTAATTAAAATACCTGACTTGAGAAAGTTCCTTTCTTATTGAAGAATACTGGCTATCATAGAAGAATGAGAGAATTAGGGTATTTCTATTTTATAATCTCTAATGAAGAAGTGGATCACCAATGGCTGCTGAAACCATTAGATGAAAAATTGATGGCGAGCTTTAAGTTGCCAGACTGGAAACTCCTGGACCCAGCAGCCAATATTCTCACAGACTGAACACAGTTTGAATCAGTGTTGTACCAATCCAAGCAGAGTGTAGAAACCCTATCGCTCTGTAGATCACCCTGTGTTATAATTGTTTCAGTGCATCTGCATGCATTAAAAACTTCAAAAGACAGAGTTTTAATTTTGGCCATAAATTTTCAAATATGTTTTAAAGAAGTCCAGAGGAGAAAAATAGGAGAAGAATATTTACGCAGATCGTTACTATTTTGGTCACTCTTCCTTCGTTCTGATGTTCCAGGTCTCCCCCTGGTATCATTTCCCTTCTGTCTGGAGTACTTCCTTTAGCAAGTCTTTTAAAGCAGGTCTGCCGGCAGCAAATCCTCTTAGTTTCCCTTCATCTGAGAATGTCTGTATTTCACCATCATTCCTCAAGGATATTTTTACTGTATATAGAATTCTGGGTTGACAGGTCATTTCTTTAAGCACTTTCAAAACGTTGTGCCACTTCCCCTGGCTTCTGTGGTTTCCGATGAGAAATTTGCACTCATTCAAATTGTTTCTCCATAGAGAATACATCATTTTTCTCTGACTACTTTGAATATTTTTTTTTCTTTAGTTTTTAGCAGCTAGGTTATTGTGTGCCTGGGTATGCGGATTTCTTTGAGTTCATCCTGCTTAAGCTTCTATTTGAGTCTGTAGGTTTTTGTCTTTTGCCATGGTATTATTTCTTCAGTTTTCTTTTAAGAACTGCACTCTTTCTCCTTTTCTTATGGGATTCTGATAACAGCTTTAGATCTTTTGTTATCATCCCACAGGTCCCTGAGGTTCTGCTCATTTATTAATCAGTCTTTTAATTTTTTTATTGTTTAGATTGGGTAATTTCTATCTTGTCAAGTCTACTTTTTTCTTAATCAACTTTCAAGCCCATATGCTGTGGTTCTTTATTAATTTGGTTACTGTATTTTTTTCTAAAATTGCTTTTGGTTCTTTATATCTTCTGCTCTTTGCTGAGACTTTCTATTTTCCATTTGTTCCGAGAGTGTTTGTGATTGCTTGTTAGAGTATTTGTATAATAGCTGCTTTAAATCTTCATCACAAAATTTCAACATGTCTTATTTTGGCATTGATATTTGTTATCTTTTGCCATAAGAATTGAGATTTTCTTGATTTTTCAGATGTCAAGTATTGTTGAATTATATTCTTGATCTTTTGATTATTGTGTATGGCACTCTGGGTTTTGTTTAAATCCTACAGAGAGTGCTTATATTTTTGTTTTAGGAGGCAAATGACCATGTTAGGTCAGACCACAAGTTCCTGATAGCCCTCCATGGGCTGTGCTTGCAGCAGTTTTCAGGCTGTTTTTGCAGTGCTGTTTGGATCTGTCCTGTATGTGCACCTCCCAGCGGTCAGTCTAGGACCGGGCAGTGGTGCACGAGGTCAGTTCTCATCTTTGGTGGGCTCGTTAAGACCGGTGCTGTGCACGTGCAGCTTGGGGACCAGCCTAGGAGTTCAGAGATAACTTTAGGGGGTTGCTCTCCGCGATCTCTCTGACACATCCCAGTTTCCTGGGAATGTAAGAGAGGGAAAAGAAAAGTACCTGTTCAGTGATTGTTCCATTTGATCTTCATCCACAGTGGTTCCATTTGATCTTTTTCCCCAGTTGGCCTGCTCCAGTTTTTCTTTTCAGAATCTGAAAATAGCTGCTACATGTACTACAATGTTCTGTCCAGGGTTGTTTCTTTTTTCCAGCTGCATTCAGTGGGGGAACCAGGGGAGTGTTCACTGTATCTGACCTGGAATTGAAACCTCCTGCATGTCAGTTTTAGCATCACAGGTAAAGAGAGAGTCAGATGTCACTTGCCTCCTGATAATGACCCAACAGGAACACACATCACCGCCATGATGTATTACTCCCCAGAACATCCAACCTCAATCTGATTGAGCCCCTAAATCTTAGTGAGTTTGGACTGCTATAACACAACACCATTGACTGGGTTGTTTAAACAACAGAAGCTGGATTTGTCACAGTTCTAGAAGTCCAAGATCCAGGATCCCGGCATGGTCAGGTTCTTGGTGCGGGCCCTCCAGTGTACGCCC